GGATGAAGTCTGATGTACTCAGCCACTGGTGCCACAAGCCTAGGTCTCAGCACTATGACACGGTGGAAAACCACAGGATGCTGTGTCCGAAGACCTTGGTTCAAGTCCAAGCATGACCGCCTGACTGTGAGAAAAGTACCACAAACAATATTTGGCACACAGAATCTCACTGTGACATCCTCAATCACTGGTTAATCAGCATCCCCCTAATATGGGGCCACATCATCAATTAAGATACATAATATGTACCCAAAATCAGATATTGGTTAAAACATAACATCAGATGATTTACTTAATACATCAGGACCATTTGGGGATTTGTAGATGAGCTCCCTTTTTATTCAATTAATCATTATTTATTTACTAAGTTCACCTGCTTCACTTCAGGCACTGACAATACAAAGACGACGACAAACCAATCCTTGCCCTTAGGATACAGAAAGTCTTAACTAAAATCAGACTGCAAAATATAGGCAATTTATAACTAAGAGAGAGATAAACTTTCATGTCCCATGGCTGTACTATAATTACGATCACAAATAATAGGCACTAATACTGATTAAACCCTTGCTATATGCCAGCCACTGTTCTAAGAGTGCCTCAGAGATGCTCTCACTTAATGTTCACAATAGACCTATGCTAAAACCCTACTAGCACCCCTATTTTACAGGTGAGAGACTATGTGAACTGCCCACACAGAACAGAGCTGAGATTTGAAGGCAGGAAGTTGAGTCCAGAGCCTGTGCTTTTGATGATAAGTTAATGAAGCATTAGGCCCACTGCCACACCATCCAGATTTGGTTTTCTCTGTGTATATGCTGCCTTTGTGCACTTTAGTACTGAACCTAATTTTGAAATGGCTATTCCACAAGACCCACCCAGCTTCATACTCTGTATCTTCAATTTTATGAAGCCTCAAATGAAACCTAAGTTACCTGTTGGTATAAACTAGGTGCTGAAACCTGTACCCAGGTAGCACCAAAATGCGTCTTTCAAAAGTTTTTATGAAGCAAACATAAAACACCAGGTGATTAATGGGGAGACTACATACAATCTGCCCAACCTATCCTCACCTGAGCCATCCTGCTCACCTGGGGCCACTGAGGGAACTGCATTTCTGGCAAAACCTGAACAGACTAAAAGTCCCCACTTCCAACTACCGAAATGATGCCACTCTTTCTTTTACAATCAAGGTCAAGGCATTCTTTTGAACTTTTCTATACTCCTATGAAACTCAGTAATTTCACTGGTGTTTTTTTTTTTCCTCCCTTCTAATAACCTCTTGTTTCTCAAAGGACAGATGACATAGGCAGAAAAGAGGAGGAACATACTGTACACATGGCTGTACAAAAAAAAGTTACTAACATGCTGGAGCAGGCAATTCAGTAAGAAAGGGAAATAGAAAGTGGTCAATCTCTGGGTTAGATGGTGCATTTTATTTTATAAATATCATTCTAACTTGGAAAGGATGTCCCTAAGATAGAAATGAGTCTGTTCTATTTTTCTAGGCTCCCCAAAGCACAGTCTACAATCCAAAGACAACTGTGTCACGATTTAGTCATAAAACATACATCACTGTGGTGAGTATTTGCTTGACACGGTGAGGAAGCAAATATATACACTTCTTATACGTGTACCATGGCACTGCATACTAGTATCTTAGAAAATATTTGCTCTTATGTCTTTCTTTCTTTCAACAGTTAGTATTTGTGTTTATTTTATATATATAAACATGCATATACTATATAAGACTTCATAATAAACACTGATTTCACCACTAGAAGGAAAGCATAATGTTTAATTTAAATTGATCTGATCATTGTAAACACTAACAGTATGTTTCACTGGAAAGATGAAATCAAAAGAAAAACCAATGTTGAATACTCAATTATTTTACTTCACTCGTTAATTTGTGTAGTGGTCACTACCTGAAACTCTGAAGTGTGATCATGAAGTAAAGAGGTGTTTTTTCAGTAGGCGTTCTCAACTGGCTCTGAGGAAATTGTGAAAGAATTCCCAAATATTATTAACATTAATATTAATATTTTGAGACACTGTATTATGGTCAAATAGGTAGAGATCCCAAAGTGACCATTTTGAAGGTTTGGCTTCTAGCATTTGTAAAAAACCCAATTTCACAGCTTGAGAGAGCTGGGTCATGGCTCACACATTCTTCCAAGTACATCTGATTCAAAATGTCTATTCTTAGTAACCCATTAAGGGCCATCACCATACTGTCATCCTTACTTTAAAATTCAAAGGTCTTCAACACCGACCTTAAGAATCAAACATGAATGTATCCTCTCAACATGTCAGAAAACTCTAATCCAGTCCATATCAGATGCCAAGCACTGGAATGGGCTCTGCAGAGAAACCCATCGGAAAGTAACACCCAGAAGCTGAGAAAGTGAGTGGTGAGCCGAGGGGACCCTGCAAAGGTTCCCTGGAGAGAGTGGCAGTGGATGGAGCGAGAGCACAGGTCGGTTTCTCTTGTGGCTCTCCGCTAGCCCCTGCTGATACCAGCACTGAGTAAGTGAACGGGCCATGGACAGAAATACCCTATAACACTCAGCAGCCAGGGAATCATTAACTCAATCATGGCGCTTGTAGAGGGTTGAACAGCATGCCTAATACTTAAAAAGCCCGAGGTAGAAAAATAATATATCCTGATATGGACCGCTCTACAAAATACATACTTCAGTAGAAAAAGGAAAGCATTCATAAAAACAATGTAATGTGAGTCATTCTTTCTTGCTTTAATTTTAATTGTGGAAAATTTTAAACATATGAAATTAGAGACTGAAGAATAATAAGCCCTAGGTATCCACCTTTAACAAGGACCAGCTTATCCCATACACAGTATTATTTATATTTGTATGTATTATATTATAGTCTGTTAGATATTATGCTACTATATTTCAGCATGTATCTCTAAAAGGCAAGGACTCTTTAAAAATATCATTATAAAATTTGGGTAAATTTTAAAATTCATTATGAATGTGAGTATACACCTAAAACAGTTTCTGGGAAAAAAATAGTAGTGGTCATCACTGGAAAAAAGGGAAGTAGAGTGAGGAGCAGGAGAGACTTTTCTTTATTTAAAACCTTTCAGTAAAACTTAAAATGTAGCTACAAGAGGAAGCACAGGGCCTGAAAGAGCAGCAGGAAGGCGGGCACAGCCTGGAGGGGGCGCAGAAAACAGGAGGTAGGCTGGGGTGTGAGTGACACACTCAGGGAGTCCTTAATATAGAGTCAAACACTAGCAGGTGATGGTGTCCATCAGCTACCGGGTATGGATTCTCTAAATGTAAAAAGTAATAGAGAGTTGTGAACTCAGTGACATTACCAAACATAATTACAATTCCAATAATGTGCAGGTCCAGACATTTATGAGACGAAAATGGGCTCATTTCAGCCTCCCTTACTGCCACATCAAACTACAGGAGCCTGACGAAATCTATCATTTAAAGTACAGCGATTTTAAAGGGCACTTGAAAAACATTTCTTTTCTTCTTCTTGTTTTTTTAAACAAGGTAATGCCTTACTTTCTCCTTCTCTTTTCCATATCTATAGTCCTTATAATTTCTCTGCCTTATAGGTTTGGAAAATGTCATTTCCTTCCCTGGTGATTCCATCTGTTACACCTGCATCACATTAACAGCCCTGGGACCCACTCGGCGCAGGGTTAGGTTAAAGAAATAAGCCTTTGTGAGTGCTTACTTACAGTGATTTCAGATACAATACACTTTTCCACATCTTTTAATCTTATAATCATCATAATGGGAGCCATGAGATGATGAGGTTAATAGCAGCTGAATTTTAGGACCCTGCTCATTTCTGTCACAATTTTCACTCCACTGAAAAATCCAAAGATGTTGCAAACATAGACAAAAGTCAAGACTGGTCTTGACTAGAGTAGTTAAAATCCAAAACTTCTGTATATATTTTAAAAGAAACACCATTTTCTCACTTTCAAATACCCCTTGAAAAAGGGTAATAAAATGCTCCCCAGTAAAGGTCAAAAGGGAAATGTCTTTAATGAATAGACTTTCAATTTTTTAAACTTTTAACTTTTCATTAGTTTAAGCCTAAATAACTTTTTCGGAGAACTTTAAATTAGTGCTTTCTTTCAGGTTACATTCTGCCCCCAGCAACTTTCTTTTATTATTTTGCTTAACAAAATCCAATATTTCTAGACAGCGTGTAGAAACAGTTCACCTAACCACTGGCAGCATAACTTCTAAATAGATGATGTTTCATTGGACTTAACACTAGGGACTTACTTCTTTTTCAAAAATGCTTCCCAGAACAAACAACTTATGTATGAATCAAAATGAAACCTTTGAGGAATCTAATGATATTTCCTACACAAACTGCCCAATTTTACCCTAAGAGGTTCATGTTCTTTTCTACCTGCAAATGAAATTTTGGGGGGGGGCGGGAATTGGGCAGTCAGTCTAGAGACTAATTGCATCAATAAGAGAAAACACCAAAAGAAAGCGCCACCTTAGCTTACACCTTTCCCGGGGTACCTGTTTCGTCTGGTGAACTGGGGGAAGCGCTGTCTTGGGACAGGGTGGTCCAGCTGGATTCCTCATCACTCGGTGCCAGGTTCTGGATCCGGTGTAGTGCGCAATCGGTTTTGGCCCCCGTTTTAGGATGATCCTTCTTGGTCTCCGGGCTGGAAGACACTGTGGCGATCTGGCCGTCCTCAGGGCTGAACTGGGGTTTGCTCGGTTTCTGCAGCAGCAAATCGCCATTCCCAATGACAGTGGAGGCCTGGCCCTGGCCTGGCGGGGTCTTCTCCTCCGCAACCCCGTGCTGGTTGCCCAAGTTCTGCTCGAGTTCCCTGGTTGAGGTTTCCAGGTCTGCATAGTAATTCAGGAAGCTCTTGGTTCTCCTGGGTTGGGAGGGCAAAATTTCACAGCCGGAGGCGTCGGGCGGTTGGGGCTCCTTCCCTTCTAACTTCTCGGAAGTTACGTTGACCGCGGCGGGGCTGACGTTCTTGTTGGGGTCCTGGTGCCCCTGCTCGGCTGCCTTCCGGAGCTGGTTCTCCCCATTTTTCACCAGTTTGATGTTGGCAGAACTATTTCCCAGCAGGGGCTGCGCAGCTGGATCCGAGAGGCCCATTGCCGCCTGGATGTTAGTCAGTGCATATTTCTTCCTGCATTTGGGGGGTGTGCTGTTCTTGGTTTCTGTGTGTTTTATTTCAGCGTTCAACAGTTCATTGTGGGAAGAACGGAGATTAAGGGTATTTGGTGGTGTGGCCGGGCTGTTCCGATTCGTGACGTCTGTGGTTCCGCTGCTGGCCATAAACACTGCCAAAGTGTCTACACCTGAGTCAGCTGGAAAAAAAAAGAAAAAAAGAAAACTAGTCATTAGATGCCTGCTATGATTAAACTACTTAGCACATAGAGTAAACATTTTTATACAGAAAATGGAAAGAACTAATGTTTCTGTTGCAGTTCTTGTAAAACTGACCCATTTTCCTCTTTCTTATCACCATTTGCTAACCCATTAAACAGGAGCAAATAAAAGGCTTAATGTGGATACACAAAACCCAATTTGTAGAAAAGCTAACAGGTCCAAGCATCCAGAATTTTACTTGGAATAAAACAAATCTCTCTTTTGAATTCATGTAAAAGCATTTTCTTCCAGCAGCTGGTCTTCATTCTCCACAGCCTTGGAAATCATCCCCTTTCTAAACATCCACACCACATTTCTATCCTGTCGTTCCCTCAGGCAACAAAGTAGTTGCTCAAAAGCCCTCTGGGCGACAGCTTCCTTAATTAACCTGAAAGGTCACTGTTCTATGATGTACCACACATCCAAGGTAATTTTTCTCAACCACATCTAGAAACTGTTCTGATGCCAAGAAAAATCAAACCTCCATTAGAGTTTGATAATGTCTTTGCGAACATTTCTGACCTGGGCTTGTTGTTTGTACTAAACAGAAACTTGGGAGAAATGGCTTCCTTAATTGCTCAGGAACACAGAGATGTGGGTAAAACTATTACTAATAATGTAGCATTGAGCCCTTGGCTACAGATGTGTTGGAGGCCCCCCAAAGCAGTCTGAATATATTCCACTGAAAACACAGACTCAGCTGTTTGCAGTCACCACGTGCCCCTGTAGGACTCCTAGGAAACTATCTGACAGTCGTATTTTACCTCATATATCGTTCACACCATCAGTGATTTATCCTATGTGTCTCTTGCGAGGAAGAAAGAAAGGTTTGTCAGACTAGATGGGAATAAAATTCATCAGCAAGAATTCCTGAGGTTTCAGATTTCTCAGTCTATGAAGAATGACTTCTTTCTTGTCTGATCCTGCGCCTTCCAGAGAAACCTCCCTGGGATCTTTAAACCAGCACTAGATGGACCCAAAGCACAGCTCCTAACATTCCTAAAATTGTATAGTGACAACTTCCTCTTCCTCCACCAGGCAAAACAAGGACCTCCACAGGGGAGGAAGGTAAGAATGGTCTCCTGTCCGGGAGCTTAGAGGTGTCCCCTTCTATCATGAAATACTCAGGATGGGCTATTTTAGGGAAGAGTCACTCACTCATCCTAGAGTCTGTGTGCTTCTGGGAGCTAGGCAACATCCTAAAATGCCAGGCAGTGTCCGTACTGACCACAGAATGACCACGTGCTCCACAGAGATAATTAAGGGCTGTAACCCAAAGTAGTTAGAACTTGGACCGCATTCTTTAGAATTATTATTTATAAGGATTCCTGCCTACCCAGGATCTACCTCAGCACTTGGGCTTCATTAAAAATCTAGTGTGTTTCTCTGTTTTAAATAATACTCTGACAACTAAATTTTTTTTAAAACTTCATACTGTTTGGCTACTACCACCATTTTACAGAAAACATGCTTCAATGTATAATTTAGCCTCACTCAAGAGCAGCATCTGATGTGAAAAGAGTCTGCCTTGACCCCACGAGATGTTTTCCCTGAGACTTATATCCATAACACGGGCACACAGGAGAGAACTGTATTTAGACTCTTGGATATTTAGAGCAACATCATTATAAGGAAGTTGGCAACCTTCTGGCTTTTTAGAAGGCGTGGCAAAAAATTTCTGTGAGGCTGTTTTATGATGTTAGGTACTATATTCTAGCAATGTTTTAGGGAGAAATTTTTATTTACTTTGTTTATAACCATAACATTTTCAGAAAGAATACCATCAAAATTTCTAGGTGATTTAATATTTAAGTAGTTTTTATATCCTGACTGTGACAGATGAAAACTCTGAATCATGTCTTCAACAGCCTTTTGGATCCCACCACCTTCCTATTCCCTATGTAACTCTTCTGCTTCCCAGAAATCATAAAAGGGAGGTTTGGGAGAGCGAAGTTAGAACAACAGGACCACCCTATACAAAATAGCTCTGTATATGCTGTTTTACAGATCAAAGCCTGAACACAATCTGAGTGTGTCTTGAGATAGTAAATGATGGTCTCAAGTATCTAAAGTACACAGTCATCCCCAGGAGTTCATACATCAGCCAGGCAGTTCTTTGGGCTCAAAAAGGCCATGAAGCAGGTAGAGGTTAGCAAACTCCTAGAAAGACGAAGGAAGGCCCCGAAAGCGGGGAGGCAGTGCCCACCAGGGTAAGAGCACAGAACTTAGGTCAGAAAGACAAGGTGCAAGTCCTGTCCATGCTGCTCCCTAGCTGAGTGATGTAGAACACCAGCCCCCGAGTCTCCTTGTCTGAAAAGTGGGGTAACAGGAGTACCTGGCTGTTAGGAGGATTCAAGTGAGAAATGCCTGCTAAGAGGTTAGCACAGTGCATAACAATAAATGTGAGCGACCCTCAGTCTTTTGATTCAAGTGACAGAGCAAAAGGCTGTCTGCCAGTGACCCCAAATTAACCAGCTATTTGCTCTGAGCCACAGAAACAGTCTCGATGCAGAGCCACGTGGAGAGTAAGCCGACTAACAACAAGTGACACAGACCCTGGGTCTGGAGAGGCTCAGTCATGAGAAAAAGGATCCCCACACTTCAGAGGAAGGAGGTACGTGGTTCTTTTTTAAAGGGAAGAAAATCTTATTATGTCTCTTTAAACCTTCTTATATTTAGCTATTTTCCTTAAAGTCAAAAAAGCCTACGTCCAAACTCCTTGACATAACAGACAAGTTACTAAAACTCCTCATTTCTTTACCATGAAATGAGGATAATCATAGTATGCACACCTCACTGAGCTTTGCTGAGGACTAAGAGAGGCAGCTGTCAAGCACTGAACCTATGGCGTATCGCAGGAGCTCAGTACAGGTTAGGGCTTATCATCACCTTACAGCTCCCGCCTGCCTCACACACTGTCTCCGACCGCCACACCCCAAGCCGTCACTGCGCGGAAATCGAGACACACGGCCCCGCCAGCTAAGTGCTTTCAGCCTCAGACGTGCAATAAAGTGACAGAAGTCAACCAGGGTGGGGGCACGCGAGGTGCAAAGGAGTAACTGGTCTTCCCACGTCAGGCTGGAGAGGACCTGGAGGTGAGGGAGGGTGGATTACCATCTGGGGAGTCTGAGCACATCAAGAAGTGAGAGGAGAGATGGCGAAGAGAGGTGGGGGAGGGACGGGGCAGAGAAGACAGTAAGACCTGCTCCAAGAGTATGGACTTGACCCTGAGGTAGAGAAGACCAAGCACTTCAACAGCAGCATGAAGAATGAACCTGAGGCTGAATGTGTGTGTGTGTGCATGCGCGTGCACACGTGTGCTGTATCCCTTTATGTGGTGGGGAGAAAGGGCATCTTTCCTCCAACATGTTCTCCAAGAAGGAGATGATTCTGATAAAAGGCAATACAGGCAATGTAAATTAGGCAATTAAAGCATCAGTGGTTGTCAGGGAAAGGGCAGAATAAGGTAGGTAGAGGGTGTCTCCCTAATGAGAGAGGAAGGCTGGCTCCATCTTCATGCTCTTCTATCTGCTGTTAGAGCCCGACTCTGCTGTTGACCAAAGGAGAGCAAAGTCCAGGCATGGAGACCAGCTGCAAGACTACTGCAATAGTCCAGTCAAGACAGCAGGGAGAGGACGAGGTGCGCATGAGAGACTTGGAAAGAAAGCCTTCCTCTTTCACTGCTATAGTACCAGTTCTGGTCATTCATCTCTTGACCAGGGCATAAGATGAGGTCTCCATCAGCCACCTGGACTTAGAGGCAAGGACTGAACATAGTCAAGTGCACTGAGTGATTACAGGAACAGCGGTGGTTTCTGTTCCAACAGCTTCGGGAGGATGACAGAGGTGGGCAGAGAGGGACCCTTAAGGAACTTTACTATGAAAAGGACATTGGGAGAGAAGAGCCCCTGCAGGAAGATCCGAGGTTACGGGAAGGAATTTTTGTTTTCTAAAGTGGAAGTCCAAGCCATGTTTTATTTTTTATAGGCTGGAAAAGCAGAGGCCAATAGAAAGGGGGAAAGCAGAGGCCAACAGAGCGGGGGAAACAGAAACATAAAAGAGAGACCCGATGATATGGAGAGAGGAGGGACCACAGCAGATGTGGAAGAATTAGCCTTGCCCAAGACGTGAGAAGGGAGGAGAGGGAGTAAGGATGGGGACAGGCACACTCGTCACTGTACTGACGCAAAACCAAGGAAAAACAAAAGTGGTAGCTTCTACTTTCTCTTTGAAGATAAAGTCTTCCCCAAGGGGAAGAGCAGTCTACGGGAACGTGAGGAGAGGGACAAAATTTAGAAAGAATGACAAAGGAGAAACACAGAGTTAGTGACTTAAAAAAAAAATTGAAGCTTGATGGCATAAAAACAGACACATAGATCAATGGAACAGAATAGAGAGCCCAAAAATAAGCCCATATATATATGATCAATTAATTTATAACAAAGGAGCCAAGAATATACAACAAGGAAATGACAATCTCTTCAATAAATGGTGTTGGGAAAAGTGGGCAGCTACATGCAAAAGAATAAAACTGGACCACTACCTCACACTACACACAAAAATTAACTCAAAATGAATTAAAGACTTCAAAGTAAGACATGAAATCATAAACCGTCTCCAAAAAAAAAAAAAAACCACAAACAAACAAAAAACACAGCAGGTAAGCTTCTTGACACAGGTCTTGGCAATGATATTACGCATTTGACACCAAAAGCAAAAATAAACAAGTGAGAATACATCAAAAAAGCTTTCGCTCAGCAAAAGAAACTATCAAGATAATGAAAGGACAACTTTCGCGATGAAAATTTAAAAAAAAAGGAACGGGCACAGAGTGGGACATGATCCAGGTGGCAGGTGTGCGGGTGAGAACAGTGAGGAAGGTACTTCGGGATCGGCCCGGAGAGGGCAGGAGACGGAGCCGGGAGGAGGGTGAAGGGCT